AACCCCACCAATTGTCTTTAAACTGCATCCAGAACCTAATCACTTCTCACCAGCTCCTGTGCTCAGCTCCTGCGCTTGTCCAAGTCACCCCCATCTTTGCATGGTTTAGTACCATGGCCTCCACTCTGGTATCTCTCTGCTCTGGCCTCACTGTCCTCAGGAGAGCAGCCAGAAGAGCCTTCCAAAGCCTAAGTCAGGTCATGGCGCTCCTTTGCTCAACTTTCCAACATCCCCCTTCCCCCACCTGACCCAGGAATAAAACAGAAGCTCTTTACTGTATCTATCAACTAATTTATACACAATTACGCCCTTTAACTAATTTAATCATAACAGCCCTATGGGTAAGTGTTGTTCCCTCTACTGTACAGATGAAAACCTGAAGGCTGTGAAGGAACTCATTCATGACCTAACAGCTAGTAAGAGGCAGAGCTGGAATGCTAACCGGGCAGTGTGGCACCACCGAGCACGGTTCCTGTTCGTTATTCCCTCTCTGAAAGTTAACATCCTTAGGACAGCCCAGCGGGTCCTCTACGATCTGGCCTTGTCCTTAACTCCCCAACTCTCCCTCTTGCTCCCGCTGCTCCCGGCTCACTGGTCTCCTTGCCGTCCTCGTCCCACTCTGCCTCACGGACGCAGCATTTACAGGCCTCGCTGTTGGGAATGCCCTTCCTCCCTTCATCTGCACAGCTCCCCTCCTCAGCTCCTTCTGACTCCCTCTCCCACTCGCAATTCCGTGCTTGCTTTATTTCTCTCCAAAGCCGTCACTATTAGACATGGTACATGCTTTACTTGTTTCTCTATTTCCTACTTCCTGTGCAGGAAATGTCTCCGCAAGGGCAGAAATCTTTGCCTTCTTTGGTCATGCTTGTGCCTTGCAAAGAGTAGCCCTCAATGAAATCTCAGTGAATGAATGAATCAGATTAAAAATCTGGACCCAATACTTCCTGAGTGAAGGCTCTCCCCTTAGCTGTACTGATGTCCTGGACCAAAGGCCCCAAAATAACCTCAAAGGCAACAAGTCTTGACCTGAACTCCAGATTTTATAAATTTAATCAACTTTCCATTATTCGGGTCAACTAGCAACCCCCTCCTTGGTCCCTCCCAATTGGGTCACAGGTCAGTAGAGGTGAATGGAAAAAGTATTGCTCTCACATACATACACATGCACCTCCCTGGCACACATGATGACTTACAAACTGATCATCCCAAATGACTCTGGGATCATCAATCTTTTTGTTTTTAATAGCTTTATTGAGTTATAACTTACACACTATAAATACTCACCTATTTAAGTGTATAATTCGTTTTAGTAAGTTTGCAGAGTTGGGCACCATCATAATCGTTTTAGAACATTTCTATCCCCTCAAAACAACCCCTCAAGTTCATTTACATCAACACCCAACCCCCAACCCCAAGCATCGGTTTTGTATTCATGTCTTCTCTCCCTTAGGTGCCTAAAGAAACCAAATTTCCCTTCTCACTGGAAAGTCTACAAAGCATTACTTTTTTAACATGATAACTTAGTTCTAAACTTGCCCGTGGAGCAGGGAAAAAGGATCTAAGGGTGTTTCCATAATTACAGACAGGAAGAGCCAGGCCAGGTGTAGGCAGGCTCAGTAAGCAACCCTCAGGCCTGCCTGCCCGCACTGGGGAAACAGGACCTGAGGTGGGAGAAGGGGAGGCCCAGCCTGCACAAGGTCCTTACCAACTTCCAGAAGCTCTCGTGTTTGCTTGGGTTCTCGCTGCCCAGAACATCTGCCAACATACTGTCCACCTCGCACACGTGCAGTCGGACCCAGTCAAGGAGGAGGAGGAGGAGCGGGCCGGCTGGGGGGAGAGACTCTCGTCACACATTCATGTGCGGCAAATTCCACTTTCCCATCTTACAGAGAATGTAGGGCAGACGAGCTTTGTAGAAAAGGGGTATCCCTCTTAAATGAGTATATACGTGTGGTCCTGAATAAAGGACTGGACTAGCAAATGGGCTTTTATGGAACACTTCCTGTGTCAGGCAGCAACAGCTTTCACTGAATCCTAGAAAGGGTTGAACAGCCTGGCCGGTGTGGCTCAGTGGCTGAGCTTCGACCTATGAACCAGGAGGTCAGGGTTCGATTCTTGGTCAGGGCATATGCCTGGGTTGCAGGCTTGATCCCCAGTGTGGGGCGTGCAGGAGGCAGACAATCAATGACCCTCTCTCTCCTCACTGATGTTTCTATCTCTCTGTCCCTCTCCCTTCCTCTCTAAATCAATAAAAAATATATATATATTAAAAAAAAAAAGGGTTGAACACAAGGCCCAGACCTCACCACCAACACCACTCTCACCCCAGCCTCCAGACTCTTCATGACTAGTCAATACTCAATGGCTATGTAAGTAGCAGCCATTTAGGAACTGGTACTAATGCTACATGTGCAACAATAAAAACATTTTTGACAGCCCTAGCCTGTTTGGTTTAGTGAATAGATTGTTGACCCATGGACTGAAGGGTCCTGGGTTCAATTTCGGTCAAGGGCACATACCTTGGTTGTAAGTTCCCCGGCCCTAGTTGAGGTGTGTGCAGGAGGCAACCAATTCACGTCTCTCACATCGATGTTTCTCTCTCTCTCCCTCTCTTTCCTCTCTCTCTAAAAATCAATGGAAAAATATCCTCAGGTGTTAAACCCACAAAAAATCTACTGCAGAGAAGCATACCAACAAGAAATTGTACTTTTCAGTTCCTTAGCAGGAGAATGAATAAACAGTTAGGACTGCCAAGGAGATTATTAACACTTATTCCTGGATAAGAGCAAACATAGACCCTTAAAATACAAAAAAGGCCTGTAGTGCCCTGACCTGTTTAGCTCAGTGGACAGAGGGTCGGCCTGCGGACTGAACGGTCCCAGGTTCGATTCCGGTCAAAGGCATGTGCCTTGGCTGCGGGCACATCCCCAGTGGGGGGTGTGCAGGAGGCAGCCGATCGATGTTTCTCTCTCATTGATGTTTCTAGCTCTCTATCCTTCTCCCTTTCTCTCTGTAAAAAATCAATGAAATATATTTAAAAAAGAAAAAGGCCTGTAGCAATCCCACAGGCAGCCCACTCAGGCCAGGATACTGTACTGACCACAATTTAATCAAGACCAACAGACTAATTCAAAGTGGACAGTTAACACACAGAGTTGTCCCTGCCCCAATCATTAGCAACAGAACTCAAAGTGACTTTGCTCCCACAGCCTAACGCTTCCGCAAATCCCTAAAACTTTCTTTCCATTTCCTTAAAAAAAAAAAAACAAAAAAAAACACAAACAACAAAAATCTGCCTCACATTTCTGGAGGCTAGAAGTCTGACATCCAGCTGTTGGCAGGTTAGTTCCTTCTCAAGCTGTGAGGAAGCCACTGTGCCTCTCCCCCAGCTTCTCCTAAAACTTTCTGAAGCTGGACCAGTCCAGGACACAAATATCGACGACCACCCCTTTCACACACTAGTTTACTGTCTGTTTTCTTGGTATTTGTCCAGGGTCATCCGCCTAACACTTTAGGTTTCTGGGAGGCAATCTGTCTGATTCTTTCTGCAGAACCTGACACAGCGACAGGCTTCTCTGGCTGCCATTAATGCTCGCTGATGGTTGTGCTGGTGAAAAGAGCATCCTAGGCAACAAAGCACCCATCACAACACACAGGAAAGACAAAGAGGACGGGCAGGGGACAGCTCTGATGCTGACAGAAAGAGTCCATGCTCACCTGGGGCAACTTCAATGAAGAGAATCTCACAAAGGTTCCAAATGAGCTCCATGGCGGACAGGATGGAGACCTAAGGGAGAAATGGAGACACGATTTTGACTGAAAACATTCCCAGGATTTACTCTGAGAACATAGGAACCAAGCCGGGCTTGAATCACATGATGGTCAACATTTACTGAGTACTCCTATGGCAGGTTTCCCAAAGCCAGTGAGAGGATTTTAGAAGGTGGGATGCAAACTAACGTGTTTGTTTGTTTTTTTAGTGGTTGTGGTCTTAGTTTAATGTACATTAGAAAAAAAATAGCTGCCCTGGCTGATATGGCTAAGTTGGTTGAGTATCGTCCCAGGAACCACAAGGTGGCCAGTTCGATTCTGTCGGGGCACATGCCCAGATTGAAGGTTTGGTCCCCAATCAGGGCACTTAAGGGAGGCAACCAATCGATGTTTCTTTCTTGCAGCGATGTTTGTCTGTCTCTGTCTCTCTCCTCCCTTCCTCTTTCTCTAAAACCAACAAAAATATATTTAATAACTAGCTCATCACACCCATGATCTTGATGATTATGATTTAGAAAGAGGCTTTATTTGAGTAATAAAGGAGATGATTTTTAGAAAAATATTCAGTAATATTATGAGAAATATAAAGATACAGCAAAAATTATAAAGTTGATATTCAAGGGAATGGAGTTTAGGAAATAGTCTATGAAAAGCCAAACCCAATATAAGACCCCAAAATAAACTTGCCCTTAGAAATATACATTCTTCCCTTCTCCACCACCCTTCTATGCACAAACACAGAATAGCTTATTTGTAAGGGGAAATAAATGCTTTCTGACTTGAGAAACAGTGCATCATTCCCTATAAATGACTGAGTTTGAATAGCATCAAGATTCTGCCATAGGCCCTAACTGGTTTGGCTCAGTGGATAGAGCGTCAGCCTGCGGACTCAAGGGTCCCAGGTTCGATTCCGGTCAAGGGCATGTACCTTGGTTGCGGGCACATTCCCAGTAGGGAGTTTGCAGGAGGCAGCTGATCGATGTTTCTCTCTATCGATGTTTCTAACTCTCTATCCCTCTCCCTTCCTCTCTGTAAAAAAATCAATAAAATATATTAAAAAAAAAAAAAGATTCTGCCATAGACTTTCCCTTAGTAAACTTCTTTGGTTTGGTTTTGTTAATCCTCATCTGAGGATATTTTTCCATTGATTCTTACAGAGAGTGGAAGTGAGGGGGAGAGACAGAGCAAGAGAGAAAAACATCGATGTGAGAGAGACACATCATTTGGTTGCCTCCCACATGAGCTCCAATGAGGGCCGGGGATCGAGCCTGCAACCAAGGTACATGAACCCGGACCCTTCAGTCTGCAAGCCGACACTCTATCCACTTAGCTAAACCCGCTAGGGCAATAAACTCTTGATGTGAAAAAAACACACACGATTCTGCCATAAACTATAGCATAAGGAATGTCGTCACTAACTATGTAGGGTACCAGATGGGTAATAGACTTATTTGGGGGTTCACTTCGTAAATTTTATGTCTAACCACCTGAAACTAATATAAAATGATACTGAATGTGAACTGTAATTGAGAAATAAAAATATTTTTTAAAAGAGTCTAACAAAGAAAGAGAATTCTTTAAGCCCTCATCCAGCTCCAACTAAAGGATGAGAACCTGCAGCCCAGTAAATGCTGGTTTCATGAGTTGAGTACAGTTTATGAGACCAAGCAGTGGTTCCAAAAGCTCAGCTCTCTACCCTCAGGTGACACAATGTGGTTAGGATTTATATTTCCCCTAAGGACTGAAAACTCAACAAGTATTTATCAAGCACATCCTTTGTTTCAACATGCTAGGCCTTGAAGGGGCACTAGAAGTTGAAAAAGATCCTTACCACCCCAAGGAGTTGCCTGTCTACCTGGAAAGAATAGAGGGCTGCAAAAAAGAGTGATTGCAAAGCCACTCCAGGTGGGTGCCAAGGACACAGGAAGACGTAATGGTGCCAACAACAAAGGCAGAGCCCTTACCTGGCTGCTGAACTGGCGACTGCTGTCTGGATCTTTAGCAGCAACTAACAAAACGTAAAACATTCTAAGTGAGCAATGGAACTTTCAGTCTCACTGTTGTAACTTCACATATCAGGCTCTGTAGCTTATGCCTTTGTTTCTTCTAATGACCACCATTTTCACTATAATATAGATTTTTTTTTAATGCTTCATATCTTTTTGTTGTACATCAGTGATTCTCAAACCAAGACCCTGAAGTTAGAAGTGGCACATTTAACTGCAACACAGCAAACACTGAGACCACCATGTTATACAAGACTATCTGACATCCAGAAGTCACGTGGCTCTCGTGGTTATGGTGACTTTAAATCACCGAGGTCAAAGAAGTGGGGATGACATTTTTAAAAATCCTTAATTTGGCCCAGCTGGTGTAGCTCAGTGGCTGAACATCAACCTATGAATCAGGAGGTCACTGTTTGATTTCTGGTCAGGGCACATGCCCAGGTTGCGGGCTCCAGCTACAGGAGGGAGCTGATCAATGATTCTCTCTCATCATTGATGTTTCTATCTCTCTCTCTCCATTCCTCTCTGAAATCAATTAAAATATAAAGAAAAAAGAAAGAAAACATTGCTTAAATCTTTTTTTTTTTAAATCCTTAATCTGGCCCTTTAGGCTTCCTTGTACCTGTCAACTCTGTACATTCTAACTTGAAAAAAATACTCAAGATGATTGACAAAAAATTAAGATAGAAAAGTGAGAGTTTTGAACTGGAATGTCAATCAGCTTTTACCTTGTAGTATTTATATCCAGATAAATACTTTATTTTTTTTTTAAATATATTTTATTGATTTTTTACAGAGAGAGAGTTAGAAACATCGATGAGAGAGAAACATCGATCAGCTGCCTCCTGCACATCTCCTACTGGGGATGTGCCTGCAACCCAGGTACATGCCCTTGACCGGAATCGAACCTGGGACCTTTCAGTCCACAGGCCGACGCTCTATCCACTGAGCCAAACCGGTTTCGGCTATATCCAGATAAATACTTTAATTACTATCACATACACACACACACACACACACAAAATCCTTACTTGCTGCCTGGTGCATTTCCTCCATGCATGCTCTTATGACTGATCGGTAGTTTTTACTCACTCGAACCAATCTACAAAAAATGAAATGACATCCAAGATGAGTCTGGAACCTCTGTGGTAACAGAGAGATAGAATAGGTGACAGGAGCTTGCTGAAAGACAGAGCCAAGTTGAAGGAGCTCTTAATGGCCAAAGGGGGAACAAGTTGAACAATAAAAGAAGTAAAATACAATACAATACATGGAATAAAGTAAGTATCCATGATTCCATACTGATATTGTTGCAGATGAGAGCCAATGATGGACACTAAAATCAGTGGTTGAAAATTTGAGAAGATTTGCATAGTCTTAAAGTTTTCCCCCCAAATACTTATTAGTTACCAAGGGAAACACTATAACTTTATAGTGAAGAAACTGCATTAACCAAGTGATCAAG